TCCATTATTTTTCGTTTTTTGAATAGATCTTCGAGACTACCAGTACATCAGATATATGAGATGTTTTCATCCTATTTCATTTAAGCTAATAAAGGACCGGTAGCTGAATTTTGTCACAATGATAGGAGTAGACCTAGTGTTTCCATTGAATTTCACATAGCCTTGCTTTCCCAAAAGGTATTCTCATCTAGACCGGACTACCGTTCAGACCTCGGATAGGTCTTATCAACACATCCGTCAGGACTCGAAAAATAACACTACTGAGAATAATCTCGACATGCTAACCAATACGCTACAATGCCCCAAGTGCCCTTGGGTCACACGGCGAATGTGAATTTCAACGAAGGACAGGCATTTTCCAATAACACATTCTGTGGTGGGATTGTCGATGCAGCAAACTTATATTTGCTATAGCAGTCGAGGACATTACTTATTTTTCGTCTTTTTAACTGACATGGAAAAATGTCTGACCTTCCTGGAAATTTATATTTGCCTTGTGACCCAGTACTTTCGTATAGTTGTGGCGTAGTGGTTAAAGTGTCGAGATTATACACTCCACTGTTATGGTTCGAGTCTTACCGGCAGTACTTATAAGACCTAGGCGAGGTCGAAATTACAGTCTACCCTGAATGAGAATACCTTTTCTGAAACAACGATATGTGAAATTCAATGGAAACACAGCTCAACTCATATCATAGTGGAAAAAGTGAACTACTAGTCCTTCATCCCCTTAAATGAAATAGGGTGAGAATAATTCTTATATTCAATAATTGGTAGATGTAGCTATAAATGGGCTAGAAAATTAATCTGAATGTCTATTTTTTAAGTTTGATAGTTTGGCTCAATATGGTGTATTAGCACCCGCACAACAACCGATTTGGACTATGTCCCCATGCATAAACGTTGAATCGCCACTGAGCTCCGCCACATCAGCACTGATCACAAAGCATGTGAGTAGTTCGCTTGTGGTTTGGTAAGCCAAGAAAATGTGACTCCATGCCGTTTTCGGTTGCAGCACCCGTTTTACTTATCTATAAGTATGCAAAATGCGTTCGGAATCTGAATTTTAGAATTTTCCATGGAAGTGTCCCCAAAGCAGGCTAATCTAAGAAAACTAGTATTTTGTGTGCAACGAAACTGGTCCCCCCTATAACAATACTCTAATTGAATTTGTCGATGAATTTCTCAGGATAGTTGTAGTCCTTCAAACTTTGGTGAACAAACTCAGCTTCACCCTTTACTATATCCTGCGTGCATAACCATCGATTTGGTTAAATAGCGTTTTACTTAAGTACACTTCTAAGAATCATTTATAATTGTTTATGTAACAGTAATTTTTGGTTAAGAAATTTGTTACCATAAATTCATCAGAAAATAATTTCGATACTATCAGTAGAACTTGAATGGGAGATTTAACATATGGGATGGTCTGCATTTTTTATTTCTTCTGGGTTTCATCACCACCACATACGCGATTTTGGTACCGGGACATTTGCCTGTGCCCAAACTACCAATCAGTTTTCCATTAGCTTCACCGTAACCGTAATTAGTGGCTGCAACTCAAGGCCGATTTGTTAAGGTATAGAGTAACTAGTCGATTTTAATGTGAAATACAAGTTTTTCTCCAATAGAGATGTGAATTATGAAAAGGCTATGGCTTGCATTGAAATTCACCCCTGGCCTGTGAAACCTTGACAGCGTCGCAGAATGTCGAGCAAGAATTTGTTTCTACTCTTGTTAAGCGTCCTGATTATGACCAGGCTTTGTCCAAATTCCGATCCAGACCAAAGAAAAAGATCTTTTGGGAGGCTAGGCTGAGAGAAATTAAATGAAGTTGCGAGGCCTTGTATTCATTTCCCTGTTGTAAGCTTAAATGCCAGTCTTTCATTTTTCTTAAGGGACCCAATTTGTCTCACATATTTATATGTATTTGTCCCAGTTACTAATTCGCCTGTTTTAGGAGGCCATTCTGACTTTCAAACTCTCGACTTGTTTGCCGTTCGGTGACACAGCAAAAAGTGTATTGATAAATTATTTACGTAAATTAGTATGCCAAATGAGTCCGCAAAGTCCATTATGGGGTTAAGAAAAGCTGCTGGTATGCTTTTATTGGACAATCTGGATGATAACAACTCAACCAGAAAAAGTAGATATCTTTATCAGAAAACCATAAAAAAAGGATTTTCAGTTGCATTCTAATAAGATTACTTGTACCACTAGATGCAGTGAAATCAGTGCTACTAAATCTAGGCATCTAGCATATCCAAAAATGGTAAATATAAAGAACATTTTTGTTAGAAAAAAAATATCCTTTATAATTGCCTGGGAAGTAGGATGAAGGTAGGCAACTATTAAGGGCAAGACAGAAGGGTTAACAAATTCACTAAGATCTGCCTGTTGCCATGCTGCCGGATTCAGAAATAGATAGACAACCTGAAGAGTAAATGCTGGATAAAAAGATGCTATAAGGTAAGGTGGACAAGAGTATAACTTCTTTTCGCGAATAGCTGATCTCACTCTCTCTAATCTTGCTTCTTATGGGTTATAGTGTTTATTTTTTATCTGAATGCAAATGCATGATGACGGTAACATGGCTGCCAGCATGTGCAGTATAGGACACCAGGCAGAGTTTTACAAAACCTTACGCCTTAAAGCATATGAAGCCGTCACTGCGGAGTGAAAGATAAAATATTCTTTTAGTATTCAGTAGGTTATCGATAACTTTTAGGAAAGCAGGGCTATGTGAAATTGAATGGAGACGTAAGATTTACTCATATTATTGTGGGAAGCATTAAATAAAAGGGGTAACACATCTCAAAGATAAAGTAGTCGAAAGAAATTAGCATAGTATACAACACTTCTGAGATCAAGAAGAAGAGTGGATTGTGATGGAGGCGTAAATATAGAAATAGGGGGTCGAACTTTCTAAATAATGGCTCGATAGGTTATTAGCTGACTCGGACAGAATCCAAACTATAGTTAAGTTTAATTGGAAAGATCTGTTGCGATACAGGTTAACGGAAATTCAATGGCAATACGAAACTTACTCATATCAATTCGGGAAAACAACCTAGGGTACCCAAGTTTTCATTAAATATACCCACATAATGGGATTCTCACCTTGAGCTTATCGGAGCAGTCATAAAACATGTTAGTGAGGGAGGACACCGAATTAAGGGATATAACACGCATGCTGAGGAAGAGAGGGAGGTTCAAAGTCAATCAAGAAATATATTGGCGAAATAGAGAGAAAAATTGGCATACGAATAAAGGAACATGAAAGGCTCAGACTGGACACGAGATCAATTGGAAGGCAACGGAAAAAGGGCCTCATACGGTGAAAACAGAAGGAAGTGAAAGATTAGTGCGGCCTTGGGAGAAAAATCTATTTAACGGGAGATTGGAGGAAGGTAGAGTTAGCGATAACTTTGCCTACTTCTTAAGCAAACTAGGGGAAACAAGAATATAGTAAGACCGGAAAAATGGCGAAGCCTGGGTCGAGGATCTATCGCTAACCGGGGGAAAAGTGATTACGTTGGGAAAAGAAGGGGGGAAGTTCAAAAATCAAGCGAAGTCGTTCTCAGTGACTGAAATCTATTCGAAGAAGCCAGTACAACTTTTGGGGCCTGGTAGTCAGGGCACCAAGGAGACGGATAAGCACAACCGCCACATAAGTTCGGATGTATGGCCAATATGTACAAGAAATCCACTTGAGATGCCTCAGGGGACCAGTGATGCGTGTCCACAGTGTGCTCATGTAGTACGGGCCCAATCAAGGGAACGACCCGTGGAGGCAATGCCTAATATCTGCGAGGATGGGAATGTGAGTCTAAGCGCACTGCTCAGTGTGTCGGAAGTGTACGTGCTGCTAGGCCTTGAAACGCACAATGGGACTGGAACCGAGTGAAATCACCCGACTGGAAACGTAAGAAACGGATCTACGGAACAACGAGGGAGATCCGGATTAGCCGATCGGCCAAAGTGAGTGACAGTTGTGATGAGGCCACACTAAACTTGCCAAAAAAGGGCACACCTTTTGACGAGTGGACTGTAAACGTGTCAAAAGTTCAGATAGGGCGGGATTTGGGTAATAGGGTAAGGAGTGTATAGATGGGCGAGGACAGAAAGAGGAGTGATAGTGTAACCGTTTCAGCAGAATGTTAATCGAAGGATTGACTTCACTTGTTATTTGACGAGTTCGTAGCTTGGTGCGAAGAATGGCAGAACTCACTGATGATGCCGACTGCGATGCCGGCGAAACGTTTGAGAATGTACCAATTCCATTGTCTGATGCTGGGAATTATGACAACTACTATGGCAGAGAACTTCGGAAAAGGTATATTATGCTAAGTCGCTCTGACAATAAGACTAAATTGGGACGAGGCCAACCCATTTCTTAAGTAGTCGTGTCAACGAAGCCCTTAAGATCTTCTCTGCTTCTAGTATAGCATCTTCTTGGTCCAAACCCTCCAGTAGGGCCGTTAGTGTCTTTTCTTAAGAGATGTACCCTAACACTTACCAATAATTATTTTCCTATCAGTGCCATGTTTTTGATCCTTTGATAAAATGCATATGAATGCTTCACTGTGTTTGATCATCTTTCGTTTACCTCTTTGAGTTTCTGACATATGGACTTTGCCCATTTGTGTGTTGCCTCATACTTGTTGTTGACTATCGGCCTTAGTGATCCCCCTTTTTTCTGTATCCTCGGTAATCCGTAGGCTGTTGGTGGTTGTGCCTCAATTCTTATGATTGAATTTCTTGTCCATGCGTCAATTTCGCTGTGACTTTACCTATCTTCTAGTATATCACGTAAGATGGGTCAGGACATAAAAGGAGGTAAAGCACAACCGTTTGGGCAGAAAGATGATCAAGGGAGTGACTTCACTTGTCTTTTGACGAGGTGTAGTTTGGTGCTGAGAATGGCACGACCCAGCGATTATGCCGACTATGATGCCGGCGGAACGTTTGAAAATGTATTAAATTCACAGTCTACCGCTGGAAATTATGCTAACCGCTATAGCAGACGATTTCGGACAAGCTGCGTCCAACTAAATCGCCCTTACATCACGACCAAGTTGCGATAAACGACTCTAGTCCCGTTCTATACATCGAAAGGAGGCTGCAACCATACCACATAGGTCTTCATATCTACGCTTTGACTGAATATATGATTATGGGAAAATTCAACCACCTCCCTTATCACCCTAAAAGAAATAGGATGAATAACTCTCATATATAAGATCTATGCTTAAGCCTTATCGTTAAGCGTAAAGTATACGCTATTCATGGACAAGTTAATTTGTCTTAAGAATGGAATTTTTCTAAGGTGTAATCCTTCCACATTAAGCTGATATTATTCGTGTGCCAGAGCATTAACAGCTCCCAGAACTGAATACTGGTCTACATTGGTACCACATGGAAACTTATCGATGTATCCTCCTCAGTAGGAATTTGCTGATCTACCAACCTAGCAAAGTCATATTAACTTTCTACTTGCTATTTCAAGCAAATTCTCGACTATGGCAGATTCCCGTTGTTCTGTATTCATTTGCTTTTAATACATCCCCACTCGTTTAGAGTGAAAACGGGCTGAGATTCCGTTCAGCATATGATGGACATTATCAGAGCTGGAACTCATTCTTGCAAAAGTCTCAAGTCAAGTCAGACTACCTGGCTATATCCCACATGCTATTGCTAAGCATAAGTAGAGAAGAAATTATATAGATATATATGCTCACTCATGTTTGTGTATGTATGTGTGTGTTATTTTGCGATGTTCAAGTCATGTGAGTTGTGATAACTCAAATCTGACTCGAGGCTATTCCAGCCTTCTCCTCTTGCTTAACAGTTCTTCGTATTCTCTCCCTGGCTTCTCACCTTAAGCCTATCGAAAAGCAATAAGTAGTTCGTTCTCAATTACAAAATTATTTCCTCCTATTCAAGATGATTGTTGGTCTGTATATTTCAATAGACTCTTTTCTCTCACTCTTGCATGTGAAGTTCCCGTAATTTTCACGTGTCATTTATTAGCAATACGTTCAGCAAGACCTAAAAGTCTTTATATGCTTTTTTATGTACTGATAATCTATTATGAAAGCGTTATATTGGGCTCAAGTAAAACATTACGTAGAATTGAGACCAGACTCCAAACAGTGGGGGGAAAGTTTTACGACAAAGTTTTTCTGCTGGTAACAAAGAACTATGATAAGAAGCTAAGAAAATTTTGTATAGAAATTAGCTCATAGTGACAGGTTTCATCTAATGAGTTTAAAGGAATGTAATGTCTGAGCTATAAAGTAACGAACCTGTCCAAAACCTTATTGGAAATTTACACTGAGGAGGCCCTATCAAATGGCTTGAACTTTACCCTTTCAAGTGAGTGAAGACTTCAAAGAGGAAAAACTGGCAGGATTAATAAGTTTATAATAAGTTTATACGTACAATTCACAATATGGCAGACCCATACGTGCGTTAAAGTAGAGAATCGCATGGTGGTTTATTTGGGTAAGAAAACAGTTGCCAGTGGATCACTCACTTTGCATGAATCAACTTCGCCAATCTGTTAGCATGTAAAATGAGCATGAAGTAGCCAACCTAATCAATGAATTCCTCATTGGAATAGAAAAATTCAGTATACAAAGTGAGCAGGTTAGCAGCCTGACACCTTTTTTCCAGGTCTACTCCATTGGTGTAATTTTTCGTAAAGTATAATTTTTCGCTCTGACGATGTCTGTCACGGTGGGACAGACGGAGAGCCGAGGAGTCATCTGAACCATCCAACACTTTTCACTATATCATGAATTCCTTCCACCTAACATTTCCTTCAAAATTCAAAGTTACAGTAAATATTTTACCCATTTTTAAAAATTTTGTTTAGCATAGAGTGTGGAGACTACAAGCTGATCTTGTAAAGAGCTGTATTCATCCTATTCCGTTCAGGTAATAAAGGATGAGTAGTTAAATTTTTACACAATACTATAAATAGGTCTCTCTTTTCCTGTGAATTTTTCATAGCCTTATTTCCCACAAGGTATTCTCATACAGGCAATAGAAACAGCAGTTTCGATCCCACCTATGCCTCACCAGCCCCGAGCGGAACTCAAAACCGAGTAGTACAGTGTGCATTCACAAAGCGTTAACCAGTACGCCACACCCCGACGAGCCTCCTTGAAACATAGAACAGACATGGATTTCATGTAAACTCAGGCCCTTCCCACATTACATTTCTGTGAAGAGATTGCCCATGAAGCAAAGTTGTATTTGCTATTACAGTCAATTACACGACTTATTTTCTTGCCCTTTTTGAGTTATGTTTCGAGACTACAATTAGCTCTTGTATAAGAATTATATGAGAACTATATGAGTCGAAAACCTACTCGCTTACGAAATAAAAACTATGTTAACCATATTTTGTTTAGGGTGATGAAGGACTAGTAGTTGAATTTTCCGGGGATTTCATCAAGATGATCTACATTAAAAGTGTATTAGAACAATTTCACTACTTTGTAGGGCCTTAACCTGGAGGTCAGAGTCTAGTAAACGTAAACTTATCGGGCATTCAGCATGCATTTACGTTGATGGAGAGAATGAGTTGAGTCAGTTGTCAAAACCTACTAGTTGTTGGGTTTTTTCAGTAGGACGATATCGTTGGGCTAATAACGGTCGTTTGTGTCCCTTATCAGATGGGACAAGTAGTTTATACTTGTATTATTCACTCAAAATTCAGCTTAGACAGAGGAAGTTGGCATAATGGGGCAGTTGGATAGTTATTTCTAAGCCTGAAGGTCCAAATTAATAATTTACGTTTGGGACAGGTTACTAAAATCTGATAAAAGGACAATTAAACTATTTAAGATGTTTTCCTTGCTGTCCCGCCTTAATATTTTATCCATTCCTTGTGTTTTATGTGATTTACTAAAAAGACTAACAAGGAAACAAAGGAGTAGATACAAAAAAATCTGTTAGAATAACTTACATTGGATTGCCCTCGACTAAAAGCATGTGAATTTCGACGCAATTACTCATTCCATTTTACAACCTATTGACCTCCATTTTAGGAAAATAGAAGAAAATTGCATCACTCTGGACAAAGTGACGACACTGAACTTTAATCTAGGATCTTCAACCGATTATGCCATTTTAGCTCATTGTCTAGTTCCTGATGTTGTTGAGTTCACCTCCATCTTAAAGCAAAGTGTGTGATGATGTTATTGAAATTTCGAATTCGCCAGACGACGACAAAGGCTCCATCCCATTTCTTTAGGCAATCTCCTTCGATTCCGATGAAAGCTTGCTAGGCTCTCGTCTGTCGTATGACGAACAGGGTAGCATCCTTGCAACCATATTCAAGCTAACGAGTCAAGAGCATTCATAGGCTCATCCTTAAAATGCACTATCAATACTTTATAGAGGAGCTCTTTGATGAGCTATAAAGTGATTTGGTTGGTTCTAGTCATGTGTCTACCTCGGAGCATGTGAGTATGTCTGTCTCTGTATGTTCACATGCCTGTATGTGTTTGCATATATATGAAACCAGCAGTGAGGGTCAAAGTAATATGGACAGCAAAAAAAACCGTTCATCAAGCTTTGATCACCACCATCACCCCCTCTCTGTATATACTCTAACCATCACTCCGATTGCGCAAGTTCGGATACACATCTGGTTATGTTTATGAACATTTAGTCTCCAATGAGAGAGAAAAAGTGGGCTATAAGTAAAGAGAAGTGACAAAAATTAGAACCAAGACAAAAAAGGACTAATTGAGTCGCCTCCCTTTTGCAGGCGGCTCAATGCCCTCTTTATCCACGAGTCTATTAACTTTAATACGAATATAAGCACAAGTAGTTTTTACTTTAATTCTTGCCGGTATAACTCGCATCCAATGTATTGTCTATTCCAGTGATTTCAAAACTGTGCGCCGCGGCCTCTTTACTGGGGCGCCGCGAAATATTTTAAAAGCTTCAATTTGAGAAAATGTGTAGTGATTTGCAGGCTCATCCATCACATTAATTATTAAATATTAATTTAATGTTAACAAAGTAAAAAAAATAATGATATACGAGTTTTATTTTTTTATCTCTTACTTATGAATAGTCATGCTTAGGGTAGGGCGCCATGGAAGCCTTTTGATTGAAAAAGAGCGCCGCGACTTGGAAAAGTTTGGGAACCATTGGTATATTCGGTTTATTATGACGGCTTCTCTAATTTTAGGTTTAGCCGCA